TTATCAATACCCCTCTCTGTCCAGCTTTTTAACATTATATCTTTCATATTGTCTGATATTGTTTAAATAGTTAATGTTTTAATAATTTAATTTTTTAATCCCAACTTAAATTTTAATTTATGCCACGATTTTAATAGAGTATATATAATTATATCTTGCATATTCTTTATATTAGATGGTCCCTGTATAATATTACTCCATATTAACTGTGTTTGTTTCGTCTTGCCTATTATTTCACATTCCATTTTATACCAGGGCTCTTGAAAGCTACCTTCATTGTGCATCATATACATATGGTATAAGGAGTTTGCCTCATATGTCTGTCTTATAAATTATTTAATTTATAATTTATACTCTTATTCTTATTTTTCTTATTTAAATATTAGCATGCATTAGGTATTGGTATTATTTAGTTTATGTTTGTATTATACTATTAGCAGGCTGTAAAAACTATGTGTAAGTAGTATATTTAAATAATGTAGTGCCATTTTGAGTGTATAACATCCCCCCCCCCCTCTTCTTTGCCTCCGGTCCACGCGTATCGAATTTGCTCGTTCCTGAGAGGAACATAGGAAAGAAACACATCATTTACGGCGTACTTCCGGGTTTCGACAGTGGAACGCATGGTGGAACGCATATGAGATTGACGGGCGCACAGGATGCCGTCACAGATACCGGACGCCGGACTGAAAATTGAAACACCTGGACTAAATGAAGAGTTATGTGGACATTGGGGGAGGTATAAAGGGTGTAGGAGGAAAGAGATTTTTATTGTTCATTTCTGGTCACTGAAGTCTCTGAGGAAGTCCTATACACGGACGAAACGCGTAGGACCCCTGGTGGGGACAGTGAGACTACATCCATTGTTTTATATTTTGATGTAAGTTATTAAATTATTTTTTCTACATTTTTAAATGTGCACTACAATTTTATTGTTTTTTCTTTGAGCACACACCTTTCAGCCAATCCATGAGATATTGAATAGAGATGGAAGAATTATTTCTGGAAAGGCATTTATGCTGAAAAAGGAATTTATTCCAAAGGTCTTCTAATTCCAGCGAGAGTGTGAGTGGCCATTTGTGAATTGTACACTTGGCTTATTCATATACACAGTTATGCGCTATGTATTGTTCTTGTCATTGATTTAGCAGATTATCCCCTTTTTTTCTGTATACATTCTATTGAAAACAAGAGGAAGTCTTCTGGGAAGACTACCTGGTTCAGGGAGGTTTTTTTCTGCTATTTATCTACTGAGCACTTATTGCACTGTGGTTTGTGCACACATATATTGTTTTTTGTATCTTCTTTATACATGCTAGATTCTCTTCTTTTATTAGGAGTTTCTCATTTAATCTTCTATGTCTGTTTATATTATATTCCTTCCCATCCTTAATCGACCAAAATACTGCATTGTGGTCAGACCATATGGTTTCTTTAATAAAACTCTTTAGAATATTCAGTAATAATGAAAAATCAGTCCACACCATATCTATCCTTGCATACGAATAATGCACAGGGGAGAAATGTGTATAATCTCTTGCGTGTGCATTTATAATTCTCCATAAATCATAGAATTTATATTTTTTTGCTAGCAGTTCTAAAGAGTGTGCTGCTTTTCTCAATTTTTGGTTTATTATTTTATCTTGAGGTACCCTCTTATCCATCTTAATGTCCATGAGAGCATTAAAATCACCTGCTAGGATAAGCGATCCTTTATAGATTTTTTTTATTTTTTCCAACATTTTCTTAACAAAAAAGATCTGATTTACATTAGGTGCATAAATATTAAACATAGTGTAAAGCTTCCCCTCTATCCTACAAATCTGGATCACATTCTTGGTATATTATTTCCAAACTTAGTGTGTTAGAGATTAACCCCTTAAGGACTGGACTGTTTTTGCGATGTTGTACATTTGCGACCAGGAATATTTTTACACTTTTGTGGTGTTTGTGTTTGGCTGTAATTTTCCGCTTTCTCATTTACTGTTCCCATACAAATTATATATTGTTTTTTTCAGGACAAAATGGGCTTTCTTTACATACCATTATTTATATAATCTCATGTATTTTAATTTAAAAAAAATACAAAAATCTGATGAAAAATTGAAAAAAATACATGTTTTTTGACTTTTACTTGAAAAATCTTTTACTCATCTACAAAAGCGAATGAAAAAAACTGCTAAATAGATTCAAAATTTTGTCCTGAGTTTAAAAATACCTAGTGTTTACGTGCTTTTTTGCTTTTTTTTGCATGTTATAGGGCTATAGGTACAAGTAGGATATTGCGGTTTCAAAACATACATTTTTAAAATTTATCAATAGTGACATTGTAACACTATTATCTGTCATAAATCTCTGAATAACACCCCACATGTACATATTTTTTTTAAAGTAGACAACCCAGGGTATTCAATATGGGGTATGTCCAGTCTTTTTTAGTAGCCACTTAGTCGAAAACACTGGCCAAAGTAAGCATTCATATTTGTTTGTGTGTGAAAAAAGTAAAAAAACTAAATTGAACGCTAATTTTGGCCAGTGTTTGTGACCAAGTGGTTACTAAAAAAGACTGGACATACCCCATTTGCAATACCTTGGGTTGTCTTCTTTTGCAAATGGTATGCCATCATGGGGGTAATTCTCATTCCTGGGCTACCATACGCTCTCAAAGGCAACGTAACCAACCTGGCCATTTTCAATGTAAAAATATTTGACCCATATATTTGACCTTGTAACTTTCAAAAATGCTATAAAACCTGTACATGGGGGGTACTGTTTTACTCGGGAGACATCGCTGAACACAAATATTAGTGTTTAAAAACTGGAAAACGTATCACAACAATTATATCATCAGTAAAAGTGCTGTTTGTGTGTGAAAAATGCAAAAAAAGTAACTTTCACTGACAATATCATCGCTGTGATATGTTTTACTGTTGTGAATCACTAATATTTGTGTTCAGCGAAGTCTCCCGAGTAAAACAGTACCCCCCATGTACAGGTTTTAGGGTGTCGTAGAACGTTACAGGGTAAAATACAGTGCTAGCAAATTAAATTCTCTGGACTTTTGGCCTGGGTTGGCAGGCAGGTCCCTCAAATTGCAATCAATAAAATTACTTAATTATGTAAAATATTACATAAATACGCACGTAGAATTTAAATATATATGCATATTTATATATTTGAAGTCTACGTGTATATTTATATAATTATTTATGTAATTTTGTATATGGACGTATGTATATTTCTTATTATTTTTATTTATTTTTATATACATAGATATATATACAAATTCATTCTAAGTGTATTTTGATATAAATATATATATATTAATTTTAAAATACAGTTAGAATAAAATTTCATATAGATATATAATTTTTTTTTATTTTTTTATTATTATTTTAAAAATTTTTTATTTAATTTAAATTACTTATTATTTATATTTTATAATAATATATATACAATATATATAGTTATTATATATATTATATATATACGTGTGTAATTTAATTATAAGTGTATTTTTATATTAATATAAGTACATATTAATATAAAAATACACTTAGTATGACATTATATATATATGATATATAGACATATATTATATAGATATAATATATGTCTATATATCATATTTATACATATATAATTATTATTATTTTTTTTATTACCATTAACTTTAATTTTTTTTCTGATTTTACAGTTGCAGGGAGACTGCCTGTCAGCACAGGCAGTCCCCCTGCAGGCAGCACTATGGACACCTATTGTGACCATGTGATCGCTGTGTTAAGCGATCACATGGCCACAGGGGTCCTAATCTGCCGTGGGGAGACTGTCTGGGCTGCAGGCAGTCTCCCCACAACCGGAGGAACACTGATCGCCGCCGGGGGAACGACGGCGATCAGGTAAGTACCCCCAGACCGTTTGGACGGTTCAGGACCGTCATCGGTCGGCAAGGCAAAAATGCCGATGACGGTCCTGAACCGTCCTCGGTCCTTAAGGGGTTAATATTGCTACCCCTTTAGTTTTCTTGTCTACTGAGGAAGACACTATGATTTTAGAAAATCTGTCAATGGCATCCGATTTTTATTCAACCAATATGTCTCCTGTATAAAACATAAATCAATTTTTTCTGTTTTAGTTTTATCAGAGAAGATCTTTTGTATGGTGAATTTAGACCCTGGACATTAATATATATGAAATGTATCCTGTTAAAAAGTATTGTTGCCTCCATTCTTCCCTATTTTCGTCCCTGAGCAAAAAACTAACAAATATACATACACACATAAAAACACATTTGAAGAACTTGAAGCATTCTTCTTGGGCCTTTAACAGCCCGGGTCATCCACGTTTCCCCCTCATTATGGCCCGAAGTGTCAAAGGTTTGTTATTGTCTACACAATAAATCAGGTTACTCTCCGAACCTCAGCAGTTGGCGCTTGATATTTCACTTCCCTCTGCTTCACGTTTATATATACCAGGAGAGGGGAAAAAAAAACAAAACCAAAAAAGAAAAAAATCTAATTTCACAGATAACTAATGTTTATACCTATAGCTAAAGTATCATATCCATTCTTCATTTTTGGTAATTGAATTCTCATTTATCTATCTTTTGTTTTAATATACCTGTTTTTTCGTGGGAATAATCTATGTATTCTTTGGGAGATTAACACTGTGATTAGTGGGTTATTTAATCCTTTCTTTTTAGTGATTTTTAATTAATTTTGTGTAATAGTTTTTTCAACTTTGGAGGCGTGGCTTGGCGCTGAAACAGAATGGAGGCCTACACTTACAGCTCCAAACCCCGCCAGCCAAATCCCGCAACACTCAGCACCCCCGGAGACCCGATGGACTGCACAAAACAACTCCAAAAATGACCCCGTCCACGTCAAGAACACAGTGGTACAGACCATCCGCATCCATCTGCGCATACCTGCATACCCCGGGGATCCTCACCGCGCAACACTAGGCCTCCAATATGGCGCCCGCCTCCCCGGGATCCACAGTGTCGGAAGACAGCCTGCACACCGCCACTGGGACCCGTGACAAAGAGGAAGCCTCAAAAGATTGGTATGCTCTAGTTGCCTCCCTCCCAAAGAAGGAAGACCTGCAATCTATAGCCCAGGAGGTAAAATCAACACTCCGGACGGAGATAGCCTCACTGCACACCTCCCTGACAGACCTGGAGGGAAGAGTGGCAGCCCTGAAGTCTGCAGGCTTAGTACTACATCAATCACACAATACTGACAGACAGCACATAGACCTGCCGCTCCATGTTGAAGATTTAGACAACAGGAGCCGCAGGAATAATAGAGTGAGAGGGCTACGAGAAACAGCAGGCCAAGAAAATCTGAGGGAGAATCTAACACCACTATTCCATACTAAATAGGCCCCCTGAAGCACGCCTGTATATTGACATTGACCAAAACCGCCACCAACAGCTCCACCAAGGGACGTAATATGCTATATACAAGCTGAAAGAAGACATCATGAAGGGAGCACGCACAGAGAGAACATGGTGGTACAAAGGCCAAAATGTGGAACTCTACAATGACCTCTCCCACCTCACCCTGCAAATGCACCAAGCTCTCCGCCCTGTCACAACTATCCTCCAAGAACATCAGATAAGATACTGCTGGCACTTCCCGTTCGCACTCACAGCACGAAAGGACAACATAGAGGCCACAATTTGTCTGCCAGCGGATGTTTCTATCTTCCTGGACATGCTGGGTCTACCGGTCACACCGGTAAGAGATTGGACAGACAGCCCCCTCAACGAGCCAGTAACCCACCCTCTCGGAGTGGATGGATTGGACATGGGCACTATACCGCCCCACCAAACAGCACACGAAGAATAACGCCTGGAGACACTGGAGACCTGACCAGCTAGAAGACTCAAGTGAACCCCATAGTGTTACCCTGAGATGGACATGACCCCCCACAGTGACTAAAATGATTCAAGAATGGAAGCCCACAAAGACTCTGCTAAGGACTGATTCCACACATAACCTGCCCCCCCCCTCAGAAGATGGAACCTGCACCCTGCTCGCCCCCAAGTCCTAAGACCCATTCACACGCCAAAACCGAAGAAGAGACTGACCCGGAAATCAGTAACATACAATGAGCAAGTACAAACAGAGACTTAGAGAGTGAAATTTTTCTTTTTTCTCTCTCCCCCCCCCCCCTCTTTTTTATTTTTTTTTGGCCACCAAGACTGCCCACAACGTACTACACCGCCCTCACGGACATGCCAAGAAGATCCAGCCCAAGAATAACTGGTGTCATATACATAACAAGTCTTGTAATAAGTAATGCCACACTGTACCGTCTGTGTTACTAATACTACCTAAGTGGGACACACAGACTGCATGGTGCTTAACGCACTAGGGCTCAGAACACGGAGCTGAGGACACTGGGGAGTGAGGGGAGAGGGGATGGGTGTGTGTGGGGGGGGGAGGGTGGTATAGGGGAAGGAGAGGTACTCACACACATGGACTCCACGGACGAAAGCATCCCCGGACAAGACACAAACAAGACACTAAGACTCCCCAAAACGAAGAGGAGGCCCGCCTCCCCGCTAACAGAACTCTGCTACCTGACACACATGCAAACCTCACATGCTACTGACAGGATAACTACACCCCCCACCCACACACCATGGACACAAGCCCAAAGCTGGAAAATGATTGGACTTGGTGACGACCTGAGAAAGACCGCACACCCAAGTCGATACCAACCCCACACGAAAGTGTCCCTCCCACACCACTGACGAACACCACATAGAGATCAGTATCCCATACAAACACCGACACACCACCTGCAATCATATAGATGCGCCACCCCTACGCACCGACAGGACACAAACCACCAACGACTGAAACTATGGAGTGGGAAACATAATGCGTGTCTATGCAGATAGATTGATGCTGGCAGCCTCCATGGAATGTCTTTAAAAATACAAAAGTTGAATTCATGTCTTGTTAACTAGCTAAACAACTGTTTTAAACTTGTTGAATGTAAACGTTGCATGCTGACGCTATTTCACCGCAATATAACCCACTGTTATATTGCATCTGACCGAACAAACCACCCAACAAACTTTGCCGGAGAGCAAAGAACCGCCACCCACAACCCCACGTGCTTACTGCCAAACCACTGGACAGGCTCACTGAAAACACACTTTACACGTGAGCCCACACCCCAGGGGCAGACTGCCCCTTACTGCCATCTACACGGCCTACACCCTCGATTGCGGGGGAGAAACAAAACACACCCACAATAGGCAAGGAGAGATGACACGCTCCTGATACCAACCAACACCCCACACAACCACCTCACGACCACAGTAGATCAACCAAAACCAGATATTAGAGGCATACGAGGACAGTGAGGAGAAAGCAAAATATCGGCCTATGCCGATGACTTACTGTTCACAGTCCGGGACCCACAATCCTCACTCCCAGCCATCATCCAAGAATTAGAGGAATACAACGCTCTCTCCAACCTCAGCATCAACTATGCAAAATCTGAGATCCTAAATCTCGGCTGCAAGCACGCCCTGACCACGAACCTAAAAGCTTGCTACTCGTTTCACTGGTGTAAAGACGCGATTAAATACCTTGGCATATGGCTTACTACCAACCCTCACCACTTGTTCAGCCGCAATTTCCTGCCCCTCCTCGACCGAAATACCTAGCAGAATGGGATATACCACATATCACCTGGCTGGGATGAGCAAACGTTCTCAAAATGAACGCCCTACCACGCTTTTTGTACCTAATGCAAACACTCCCAATCTTCATCCCCCAGACCTTCCTAGCCCAAGATATGTCTGGCGAAATCGAACAGCCAGAATAAAATACGATATTCTCACAAAACCCAAGCTGCAAGGGGGCCTGGGGCTCCCCGACCTCAATAAATACCACCAAACCACTCACCTCCAACGCATTGCCGAATGGACCATAGAAACAGAAGATAAACTCTGGATCGCTATAGAAGCCAGCTTTACTCCACTCCCACTTCATACATTACCATGGATGCCCCCACAACAGACAAAGAGACACGAAAGAAGACATCCCACAATATCAGCCACCCTACCGGTCTGGAAGAAAATAGCAAACAAAAAGGACCTCGCCCCACCTCTATCCCCCTGTACCATATCACAGGAAACCCTAGATTTCACATGATTAACAGCAACCAAACCATGACAAGCCTGGGCCTACCGACTCCATGCAAGCTACAACACATCCTGGCAACCAGGAACATCCCCCCACTAATGGACCTACCCACGCCTGAACCCCCAGACCCACTGACTACATTCATGTACCACCAACTAGTAAGCGCACTAAAAATAATGCCCGATCTTCAAACTGCTGCACGACCACTAACCATGTTCGAGAACCTATGCACCCAGCTGACACCCATGCCACACGCCATATCACTGCTATACCAACTACTGAACGCACCGAAGGGAGACACTCAGCTGCCATACATACTGACAGATACTGGGAGAGAGATCTCGAACACCCACTAACCCAGGACCAATGGACCACAATGTTCACGATGATACACAAAATCTCCATAAGCACCAAATACCAGGAATCGAGATACAAAATGATATCACACTGGTATAAAACCCCTGAAAAACTCGCGACCATGCACTCTACAAGGGCACCGGAATGCTGGAGATGCAGAACCGAACTGGGCACACTATATCATATTTGGTGGACATGCCCCCGGATCTAGCCTTTCTGGAGGGAGATTCATCAAGCAGTCACCACGCTAACAGACAAAGCGGTCGAGCTCACACCGGAAAACTACCTGCTACATCTGCCACCCCTGCCACTGGCTACATACAAAAAAACAATCACACTGTACCTACTCAACGCGGCACATAGCCTGATCCCAGCATTCTGGAGAAAGACAGCAACCCCATCCACGACAGACTGGACAACCAGGGTAGAAGACATAAGGACCATAGAAGAACTAATCCTAATAGCCAGAGGCCAAACCCAGAGATACCAGAGGATATGGTTCCACTGGCTCCAATAGCTAATGAACAGACCGCAATAAAGTACCCATCCCACATTTGGACACTAGAAAGCTTATCAATAAACTGCAATCTTTAAATTTGGGTTCCAATATTGTTGAATGGGTAAGGCTGTGGCTGAGTGACATGCAACAGAGGATTGTAGTCAATGGAGTATTTTCAAAGCATGGGCTTGTCCCCAGTGGAGTACCTCAGGGATCTGTACTTGGTTCCATTCTCTTTAATATTTTTATTAGTGATATTGCAGAAGGTTTTGATGTTAAGGTATGTCTTTTTGCTGATGATACTAAGATATGTAAAAGGGTTGATGTTCCAGGAGGGATACACCAAATGACAATTAATTTAGGTAAACTAGAAAATTGGTCAGAGTTGTGGCAACTGATATTTAATGTGGATAAGTGCAAGATAATGCATCTTGGACGTAAAAACCCAAGGACAGAGTACAGAATATTTGATAGAGTCCTAACCTCAACATCTGAGGAAAGGGGTTTAGAAGGGATTATTTCAGATGACTTAAAAACAGTGTAACAGAGCAGTAGGAAATGCTATCAGAATGCTTGGTTGTATAGGTAGAGGCATTTGCAGTAGAAAAAGGGAAGTGTTCATGCCATTGTACAGATCACTGGTGAGACCTCACTTGGAGTATTGTACGCAGTACTGGAGACCGTATCCCCAGAAGGATATTGATACTTTGGAGAAAGTTCAGAGAAGGGCTACTAAACTGGCTCATGGATTACAGGATAAAACTTACAAGGAAAGGTTAAAGGATCTTGACATGTATAGTTTGGAGGAAAGACGAGACAGGGGGGATATGATAGAAACATTTAAATACAGAATGGGAATCAACACAGTAAAGGAGGAGACTATAGAAGGAAAACTACCACAACAAGAGGACATAGTCTTAAATTAGAGGGACAAAGGTTTAAAAATAATATCAGGAAGTATTACTTTACTGAGAGGGTAGTGGATGCATGGAATAGCCTTCCAGCTGAAGTCGTAGAGGTTAACACAGTAAAGGAGTTTAAGCATGCGTGGGATAGGCATAAGGCTATCCTAGCTATACGATAAGACCAGGGACCTAATCAGAGTATTTAGAAAATTGGGCAGACTAGATGGGCTGAATTGTTCTCATTTGCCGTTACATTCTATGTTTCTATGTTTAACTTCAGGACAATCATTAAAAGACCACTATAGTGCCAGGAAAACATACTCGTTTTCCTGGCACTATAGTGCCCTGAGGGTGCCCCTCCCGCCCGGCTCTGGAAAGGGGAAAAGGGGCAAAACTTACCTTTTTCCAGCGCTGGGCAAGGAGCTCTCCTCCTCCGATCCTCCTCCATTCC